AAAAGCTCATTTTTGTCCTAAAATTTACTTCAGTTCCCTTTCAGATCAGTCCCTTATTATTATGTACTTTATAGGTTTATACAACACTACTTTCCCTCAATGTCTTTCAGGATGTTCAGGATCCTTCAGTGTTTGTAACTTTCCCTTTGGAGGAAGATGAAAACACATCCTTAGTTGCTTGGACAACCACTCCTTGGACTCTACCTAGTAACCTTGCCTTGTGTGTCAATCCAGAAATACAGTATGTGAAGATCAAAGGTGGGTATTAGGCTAATTACTTGTGATCATACAGGTGAAATAATTTTATGTAGCTATAAACGCTTACATTTATTTTTGGAGTAAAACAGTTTTATATGAAATTTTACTAAAGATACACTGTAAGGATAGGTATGGTGGCACACACTTGTGAGTCTCAGCACAGAGTAAACTGGTGGGAATATTGTAAGTTTGAGGCTGCCCTGAGCAACACAGCAAGATCCTGTCTCACAACTAGACAGGTGGGGGAGAGAAAAGGAAAGGATAGAAAAAGAAAGGAAGCCTGAGAGTTGTCTCATTTCTGTCTGAAAGTGACACAGATTTTTACAATTTCCAGTTTTAACATAATTATTGCACATCATTCCCCTATTCCGAAGTAGATAATTCTTATATTCTGAAGTTGGTCCTTCTTTGGAAATCTATATGGAATTTGGTGGTTGATACTTTCTGAGCATATATATACTTCCAGATTTGGGGAAACTGCAGGGAGGAAAAGAGAAGAACACATTGGGCAAGGCAAGGGTCTATGGGACCTGCTTTGGGAGTTGTATGGCATTTCTTCTGGAGTTAAGTGTAATGTTACCTAACAGTTTGCCTAGCAGTTGATACCAGTATCTGGGTTTTGGGGGCATGTGCCCCAAATCCTCATACTTGGGATGCTGGAGAATAAAGAGTGAGTTTGAGGCCAGCCTTGGCTACCTGAGACCTTGTCTCCCAAAAGGAAAAAAAAAGGAATTGAGAGCAGTGAAAGCAGGTGCTTATTCAGATATTATTACACCTGTGTTTGTATCAACATTGTTGACAGCAGATAAGTCATGGAAACTGCCTATGTAGATAAATTCAAATGTTATCCAGCCTTAAAGTCTGTGTGTATGGGGGGGTAGGGGCGCCATCTATTTGGTTTCTTCCTGAACCCTGGAAATACCTGTTGGGAATGACTGTTGTCCATATGGGATCCTGACTCAATAGCTGATCCTCTAACGGGGTTTTGGTGCCATCGGGGCTAGTTTCCTATGTAACCCATGAGTGTGAGCCTAGCATGTTAGGGGCTTTCTGATATTGCAAATTTAACTCATGTGTGTGCATCTCACACACACACACACACACACACACGTGTGTGTGCTTATATATTTTGTCTCGTTCTTATAATATTTTATATAAAATGTGGACTTAGCATGTAACAGTATTTCTGTGACTAACTGCACCAATGGAAGCAGCTTTTGATTGAATTACAAGGGTCGTTAAAAGTGATCAATGGAAATGTAAGCCATATGTTCTAGTAGGTTATAGGGAATTATATTACACTTTGTAGTTGGAGTTTAAATTTCCCACTTCTAATTGATTTGTTAGAAACGGTCTGTGATAACTCCATTGAAAAAAAATTCAGTGGTGTTTTTATGTGAAGGAATCGGGCTGAGGAATGGTTTGGGGGGGTGGGGAGAGATATCTTTATGTTCCACCATACACGATGATAGTCACACTGTGTTAAGTACACAGACGCTGGAAGAGCGCCTGAGTATCAGCTTACAGTTGTTCAAGGAGGAGAACCTAACACATGTCACGCCTGGCTGACTAGACACAGCAGTGACGCCATCTGAGGGGAAGAGATTATAGGAACTTTGGCTTTGTGAGCTACTTGAGTTATTAATGTAAAGATTTGGGTGGAGGGGGCTTGTTAGTCTTCAGACAGTGTCTCACTGCTTAGTGCTTGTTGGTCTGGAATTCACTGTGCGGACCAGGCTGGTTTGGAACTTAGAGATCCACCTCCAAGGTACTGGGATTAAAAGTGTGTGCCACCATGCCTGGCTTAATGTTGGGATTTTTTTTTAACATTCACATATATTACCTTTAGAAAGAGAAAATGAAGATTAATTTCCCAAAGAGGACTTGGATGCAATTATTAATTGCCACCTACCCTGCTGCCTTTGATGTCTTTGGCACATCTGGGTAGCAGTGCTGCCTATTTTTGTAGTGTCCTCTGTGAGTCTGGGGCACACAGTAGATATAGGGGACACACACTTCTTGGCACAAGAAATATGCCTGGTGTATGTCTTCATAGTCAGCTAGTCCAAATGTCACTAATGTTCTCTTTTCCTTCGTTATCTAGATGTTGCCAGGGAAAAGTTGTTCATTTTAATGGAAGCCAGATTGTCAGCCCTCTATAAGCTAGAGAGTGACTATGAGATCCTTGAGAGGTGAGTGTTCATATAGTTAGGTGTGTGTGTCTGTCTTTAGTTTTAAAAGAGACAAGTCTTCATCTTCCTAAAGCCGTATTGTTTAAGTTGAGTTTTAGGTACCAAATATGTTTAAGTCAGAAATTTCTGTACTTGTAACAGTGACTGCAAGCCTCAGACGATGGTGACTTATTCTGACTAAAGCTTTATTACTTTGATTGACTGATTGTGTGTGTGTGTGTGTGTGTGTGTGTGTGCGTGTGCGTGTGCATGCACATTATGTGTGGGTGGGTGTGCACATGTGTGCCAGAGGTAAACATCACATGTCTTCCTTAGTTGCTCTCCTTGTGAGTCTTAAGACAGGCTTTCTCTCTGAACTTGGGCCTCAAGTTTGAGAAGTCCCAAAGTCGCAGGATTCCCCATGTTTCCTCCTCTCCAGCTCTGGGATTCCAGGCGTACACTTCCACTCCCAGCTTTTTACATGTGTTTCAGAGATCCAAACTCTAGTTCTCATGCTTGAGCAGGAAGCATTTTACTCCTTGGCTTTATTGCTTTGATTTACGGATGTATATTCTTTTTTCAAGGTTTCCTGGAGCCTCTCTTAAAGGCAAGAAATACAAGCCATTGTTTGACTACTTTATTAAGGCAAGTTCAGAATGGCTGTCTACATTCATGTCTTTGGTAATAGGACTGAGGTGATGAGTGGAACTCACATGACCTCCTTACTATATTGTTCTTGTGTGTCTGAATCCAAAACTCTGCTTTAGTGTTAGAAAACTTTGAATTAAGTAGCATTCTATCACTGACCAGCATCTCCAGATGAGCTTTTTCCTTTCCCATCCTCTGCTTTTGCTTTAAGTTATCTCCTGTTTTAAATACCCTTTGCTTTTCTGTCACTGTATTACTGAGTTTAGTTCACTTTCAAGTCTCTCCCCCTTTGTATCTCTCTCTTTTCTGTGTGTGTGTGTGTTTGCATGTGTGTGTTCACATGTGCATACATGTGGAGGCCAGAGGTTGATGCCATATCTTCTTAGATTACTTTCCACTTTAATTACTGAGGCGGGGTCTCCTACTGAACCTGAAACTTCCAATTCAGCTAATCTGTCTAGCCAGGCTTGTCTGAGGGACTCCTGTCTCCACTTCTCTGTGTTTGCCTTCCTAATTTGAATTATTTAGTCTTTTCTAGTTGCATGGTCAACAGTTGATTTTAGACTCTTCTCCCTGTGTTTCCTCTAAAGCTCTGCATCCTTTCTTTTCCAGTGTAAAGAGAACGGGGCCTTCACCGTGCTTGTTGACCACTATGTGAAGGATGAAGAAGGCACAGGAGTTGTGCACCAGGCCCCTTACTTTGGTGCTGTGAGTAGCATAATCTTGCAGCTGTGTTTCTGAGAAGTAAATGTCAGCAGCCACTTTGCCCAGGATGCTGAGTCATAAGTCTCATTAAGCTTCTCCCTCTTGCCAAGTGGAGTCGGCTTTTTTCTGCCCCATTGCTCCCAAAGATGGCGTAGAAAACTTGTCATCTGCAGTCCAAATTCCTCTTGTTGGTTTCTGGAAGCAGGTCAAACTTTGAGCTATTGTAAATCCTAAAACAGTTGTGTGTGCCTTTCTGGTAGCTTCCTTTCGAAGGTTAAATGGGCAAATGCAGTAAAGTGCTCAGCGTCCCTCACAAGGAGCGTTAATGAGTGACACTTTGGATCCACTTCTGAAACATCATGTTGTAACCTAGGAAAGCTGTGCCACCCTCTTTACTGAGTGACAGGGAATACTTGAGACTAGTACTGTCGTCTTCGGAATCTCTTGATAGGATGCAAAGTTATATGTACATTAACCATGTGTCTTCCACTCAGTGACGTGGCTTTTCAGATATGCATGTATATTCAATAAAATTTAACTTAGTGGGGGATTTTTGTTGTATTTTGTTATTGTTGTTTAGGTTTTTGTTTCAGTTTGGTTTTTTGGTTATTTTTTGTTTGTTTGCTTTTCCCTGGCTGTCCTGGAACTTACTCTGTAGACCAGGCTGTCCTTGAGCTCACAGAGATCTGTCTACCTCTGTCTCCCAAATGCTGGGATTAAAGGCGTGTGCCACCACCACCTGACTTAGTTTTGTTTTTTTGAGACTTGATCTCACTATGTAGCCTTTATCCTTGATTGGCCTGGAACTTGCTATGTAGATCAGGCTACTCTTGAAATAGGAGATCCACCTCTCTCTGCCTCCTGAATGATGGGATTAAAGATACATACTCTGTTCCTGGCTATGATTTAGTTTTAGAATGTTCATGTGTGACTGCTCTAATGGTTGGGATGATTGGGCTAGATAATCTAACCTTTGTCCAGCTGTGAGGCCTAGATTTTATATCGTCCTTAAATCACCTCCACTTAGAAGTAGAAGGCTAACTAGATACGTATAAGATAGTATTTAAATTATCTTACAAATCTCCATAAACTCAAGGTTTTCTTTCTCTTTGTTCACACATGTGCTTAGACACTTTTATCCCCAGCCGCCCCTCTGCCTGTTCTTGTTTTCTCAGGATGACCACCGGGTCTGCATGGACTTCAACATCATTCAGAAAGACTCGACCCCTGTTTGCCCTGTGGATGCTTCAGGCTGCTTCACAGAAGAAGTGACACATTTTGTGGGACAGTATGTGAAGGTCTGTGCTTTGTGTTACATAGAGGGTGTTGGTCCCATCATACTCGTTTCAGTTTGCTTCTCAGTAAGGAAATTCATTCAACTGATTAATCTTCACTATTTACAGTTTTGTTAGAATTAATGTAGATGCTTTAAAAGTTTGTCTAAGCCCTTAAGATCAGCTATAAGGAGCCACATTCAGAGGGCCTCATGTGTTCCATCCGTGGGAGCTGGGAGAATGCACTGTAGTTTGTCCTGGAGCAGCCTTGTTATGCTCAGGTCATTGTTTCTGTTTGGGAACTTCACTGCCTAAAAAGTTACAGATATATTTTTAAATTACTTAAGTAGCTAAAGCAGAGCAGAGCAGTTTCCCGGGTTTTGTTTTTTAATGTGGTGTTGAGGGTGAAGCCTAGGGTCTCATGCATTCTGGGTAAGCTTTCTACCCTCTAGCCGTATCTCCAGCCCCCTGAATGGAATTTTCCAGTGACATCTGACTATCCTCAAACTATTCATTCTGAAATATCAGATTTTAGTAATATGTTTATACTGTTATTAAGTATGCTAGGGTGTCTTAATGACTGAGTTTTAACTTTTTTAACAGGATGCTGACAAAAATATCATTAGGATGTTGAAGGAACAGGGCCGACTGCTTATGGCCAGCACCTTCACTCACAGCTACCCTTTCTGTTGGAGGTGAGACAGACTGACTGTTGTGGGGAGCTTCACAGCTGTGGGTGTACTTGTGGCTTTGCTTGGGCCTCCGTAGTTGGGCTGTCCCAAGGTGCCTTTGGAACTGGTGTTTAGTAACACTATTTTAGGAGAGAAATTGTGTGTGGGGGGAATAGTCTTCTATACATATCTGTTTTGTGTTGTGGTCATTTATTTTTTTTTAAGATGATAAGTATCTGAAATTTTATGATGGAATTGCCTTAGGTAACCAAGTTTTAATTTTAGAACATCCTGTAAGTATGCAGATGAAAAGGTGGTATTCAGTGTCCTGAAACTCATCCTCACGTTTTCTTTCTTTTTTTTTTTTTAAGATTTATTTATTACATATCACCAGATTGAATTGTAGATGGTTGTGAGCCACCATGTGGTTGCTGGGAATTGAACTCAAGACCTCTGGAAGAGCAGCCAGTGTTCTTAACCTCTGAGCCATCTCTCCAGCCCCCATCCTCACGTTTTCTACCTTGCCCCTGTTCCATCAGAAGAACCATTTTCTAAGGCTTTAACAAAAGGAAAAAAAAGTATGTGAGTGAGTGTGTAAGGGTGTGATTGTGTGTGTGTGTGTGTGTGTGTGTGTGTGTGTGTGTGTGTGTGTGTGTGTGTGTGTGTGTTTGCTTGATCTCAGAAGCCAGAACAGTGTGTCAGGAGGCCTTAAGCTGAAGTTTCAGACTGTCGTGAGCTGTGGGTGCTGGGATCCCAAGTTGGGGCCTCTGCAAGAGCAGCAGGCACTGTTTAATTGCTGAGTCATCTCTCCAGCCCTTAATTTTGTTCTACTTTCTTCCTTTATCTTTCTTGGTTTCATCTGAAAGGAGATGAGAAGCTTAGACATCTGTGTATTTGTTTTAAGTGTATGTGCTGCCTGTGTGGAGATCAGAACAACGTGTAGAGTTTGCTTCTCTCTATCCACCGTGTTGGTTCCAGAGATCAAACTCAGGTCATCGGGCTGGACAGCATGTACCTTTACCTTTTGAGCATCTTGCTGGTCCAGACATATGTAATCTAAAATAAAATCGAATGTCAGCAGAAGGCTGAGCCGTAGGAAGTGATGCTAATTAGGAATTAAAGTCAGTCTTGCCCTTGGTGCCTGCTGTCTCCATCTAACTGGAGCATCTGTGTTCCGTCTCTGTGTTCTGGTTCCCAGGTCAGACACTCCCCTCATTTACAAGTCAGTGCCCAGCTGGTTTGTGCGAGTGGAGCACATGGTGGACCAGCTGCTGAAGAACAATGATCTGTGTTACTGGTGAGCATGAGATGTGTCCCTTCCTGTGGTCTTCTTCGTGCAGTGAGTACAGCACACGCTCCTCAGATTTAACTCCTGAGTGCAGCACTCGCTCCTCAGAATTAAGTACCCATCTCTAATCGTTTTGATTTGTAGCTGCTTTTATTCTCTGTGTAAGGGACACAGAATCATACATAGTTGAAGTAATACCTGCTTACAGTAGAGTGTGTAATAACTCACTCTTCTCTGTAAAACCCATTAGAGATAGCAAGTGTCATCTGCCTGTGATTTACAGGATGAATTGACTTTAGGAAAAACATCTTAGCCAGATGTGGTGGGACACAACCTTTGATCCCAGGTCTCAGGAAGCAGAGGCATGCAGACCTCTGAGTTCAAGACTAGCCTGCCCTACATCGTGAGTTCCAGGACAGCCAGGGCTACACAGTGAGACCATGTCTCAGAAACACATGAACAAGCTATCTGACTATCCTCAAACTAGTAACTCTAATAATTTTCATGATAAAGTCTAGTGTGTATTTGCCGAAGCCATTTATTTATACTTAACCAATTTGGGTGCTTGCATTCTTCATAGGCGTTTTACAAAGTGAGTTCTTACATCTTCTATTTTAAACAGGCATTCTTGAACTGTATATGATATACATGGTATCCTCTGCCCTTGGCTTTATGGAAACTTTCTCCCCGGTTGCTACTCCCCAGTTGCCAGCCCACTTAATGAATAATCAAATAGCAAAAAGAAACTTCCCACAGACTTGTTGGTCGTGAGCTTAGCTTAGTGTTTCCACAAAGTGCCACACAGGCTTGTGTCATCTTGGTTTATCATTTTCACCTTCTATTGTTCCTGCATGACTGGTAATATAATCTGTCTGTGGCAGGGTCCCAGAATTTGTACGAGAAAAGCGGTTTGGAAATTGGCTGAAGGAGGCACGGGACTGGGCAATTTCCAGAAACAGATACTGGGGCACCCCCATCCCACTGTGGGTCAGTGAAGACTTCGAGGAGGTGAGACAGGGCAGATGGCTTTGTGTTGAGGGTTGCCGAAAATGGGGATCTTACTGGTTTGTTTTGTTTTTATTGTTGTTTAAATAATAGTGTAAGATAATCTTTTTAGGGTTTTTTGTTTTTTATTTTTGTTTTGTTTTTGTTTTTCAAGATAGGGTTTCTCTGTGGCTTTGGAGGCTTGGAGGCTTTCCTGAAACTATCTGTTGAGACCAGGCTGGTCTCGAACTCATAGAGAACTGCCTGATTCTGCCTCCCGAGTGCTGGGATTAAAGGCCTGTGTCACCATTGCTTGTCAGGGTTTAATTTTCGAGGAAGTGCAGCTTTAAATTTTATTCTATAAAGTGGGAGAAAAATAGTAATTTTTTCCCCTGAAATCCACACTTTAGGGTGGGTGTTGCTTTGATTTTTCCCTACCCCCTGCCACAAGTTATAAAACTAACTTCAAGTTAAACTGACCTGTTGGGTGTGGTGCATGCCTTTAATCTCAGCACTCACGGGGGAGAGGCTGGTGAATCTGCCAGTCTCTGGCCAGCCTGCTCTCTACAGAACGTTCTAGATCGCCAGACTCTGTCTGAAGAAAAAAAAGTCGAATTGAATTTAGGAATAGTGAAAAGGGGAAACCTGGTAAAGAAGAAACATCCCAGACATTGCATGCATACCTTGACATCTGGAATTGTGTTGTTTGTATGTGAGTGTAGATGTATATTTGGGTAGGCAGATGCTATTCCATGGCAGAGCCTTCTGTCCAGTGTGATGAGCATGCCGACAGTGTTGAGCAGCTACACCCAGGGTTTGTAGATTTCCTATAGGATCAGGAAGGCAACAGTGTAGTTACTGAGTCAGAGAGCTTTTCAGGACAGAAGGGGAGGAGCAGAGAAAGGCCATGGGTGACTCTATGGAACAGGCCTTTCCCTACACAAAAGCACACAGCCTGTCCTGCTCCAACCCCTCCCTGTCATGTGGTCCTCATTACCTGATCCACCTACCTCCACCTCAGCTCTTCACCTAAACATAGTCCCAACTCCTCGTGACTTGGGCTAATTTTATTTTTATATACTCCAAGCACAGTAATTTAGCTTTAGCCTTGACTTGAAAAGATCACAGATTAAAGAGTCAGATCCAGGTACAAGGAAGAAAGTAAGATGCTTTATACTAATAGTCTAATTAGTTTAGACGGAGATGTGATTATGATAAATCCCCCAGAGTCACCTCTTGAGGTGGTGGCGGTGGTGCTTTGGGGCCTGTGCTGCAGACCTGTAGAAGAGGAACGAATGACGGGAACAAGGCCAGCACTGACTTGTTTGGAGCTGGCAGTCTCGCCTGAGAGATGAGCCCTGTTGGTGCTAGCTGCCCTTCAGCCCAGAGAGCTCTGTTAACCCGCTTGTAAAGAAACTGAGTTTCAGCTGGGTGGTGGTGGCGCACGCTTTTAATTCCAGCACTTGGGAGGCAGAGGCAGGTGGATCTCTGTGAGTTCAAGGCTAGCCTGTATACTGAGGGAGTTCCAGGACAGGCTCCAAAGCTACACAGAGAAACTCTGTCTCAAAAAACCAAAAAAGAGAAGGAAAAGAAAAGAAAAAGAAAATTAGGTTTCAAAAACTGGACAGAACACTGTCTAAGTGACCTCGGCATAGTCTCCTTGCCTCTGAGGGGCTCCTTTTGTCTTCACCTTGACAGGTAGTTTGCATTGGATCTATGGCAGAGCTTGAAGAATTGTCGGGAACAAAAATCTCAGATCTCCACAGAGAGAGGTCAGTTCCCAAACACCCGACTCCCTGCCATGTTGCTGTCCTGGGAAGACCGGGAATTACAGATCTGCATTGGGAAGGCACTGGCCTGTCGCTTGGTTGATGAGCCATGCTGTTTGTGTTGGTGCATCCTCCCCTTGATGAAATGTCAGATAACTGGTAGACAACCGACCTTTCAGATTTGAGGGCTCCCGCTGTTCTCAGCTTTTGGAGACAACTTTTTTTGAGGCTAGATATCACAATATAGTAACCCTTGCTGTCATAGAACTCACTATGTAGATCATGCTGGCCTTGATCTCACAGAGATCTACCTGCCTCTGCCTCATGCCTGAGTTCTAGGATTAAAGGTGTTCACCACCACATCAGGCCACAGGCCACAATTTTTTTTTTTTTTTTGCATTATGTATCACTTATCTACTAGGTATGTATGTACTGAAAAGTGCGTCATTAGACAAACTTGCAATTGAACTAATATTCTGGAGTGAGCTTGCACAAACCTAGATCGTACTGATAGGTTCATCACTCTGGCCTATTTTAATATAGTCAAGATACTTATATGGCGGTAGCAAGTAAGCAATACTTAAGCCAGACATGACTGCTGTAATCAACACTCAGGTGGTAGAGGCAGGTGCATCAGAGTTCAGAGCCATTCACAGCTACATAGCAAGTTCAAGGGCAGCCTGGGCAATGGGGGCCTGTCTCAAAACTAGAAAACAAAATACAGTAAATGCATAAATGGATTGCATAGTTTTTTATGCTCGCCATTAGCCACAGTGAGCCGGGCATACTTTCATATGCTGTCTCTTCTCGTTGTGCAGTAGTTTTGTTTGCTGTCCATCATCACCTGTACCATGTCACTGAGATTTCAGTCTTACACCCTCATAGGACCACCACTGCACACGTGGTCCCTCATTTAGTACATTCTTGTCCAGTTGGCATTTCAACTGCAAGTTCTTCTGTACTTACAACGAATAGAGGTGGCAAATCTTCTGTTTGTCAGCATTGACCACCTGACCATCCCATCCCGCTGTGGGAAAGGACCATTGCGGCGCGTCTCTGAGGTGTTCGACTGTTGGTTCGAGAGCGGAAGTATGCCTTATGCCCAGGTTCATTATCCATTTGAGAGCAAGCGAGAATTTGAGGACACTTTTCCTGCAGACTTCATTGCCGAAGGCATCGATCAAACCAGAGGATGGTATGCCCCTTCTTTCTTTGGATATTTCTGTCGGTTTTGCTGTATTTAGAATGTGTTTATTAAGTACCCACATGCATCTGCCTCGTGCTGATGTGGTAATGAGACGGGCTTTTCTGCCCTCTGCCCTTCCTGCCCCGCACGGGCACCAGCATGTCTTTCAAGTCAGAATCCTGACTATCACAAAAATAATATAAACTGTTACAGTTTATATTATTTCACACTGGGAAATATATCTATGTGTTAAATTGAAACAAACTCTTCATACAACATATTCTTAGCTTATTTATTTAAAATCTTTTACTCAGACATTTAAATCGTTTTTATAGCAGCAGCAAGTTGGCTAGAAATTGGAAGGTAGTTGGAAATGTGTTCAAAAGTTAAGGCCAGCCCATGTATTAACATTCTGGGGAAATCCAGGCATGTGGGGGATTTGGGAATGAGTTTCATTTAGCAGAGCCCTGTTTGGAACTGTGCTGTCATGCTCACTAGGAGGTCATTTACCTTCTTCTCCTGGGTGGGCTCTGTGGCCCGTGTGCCGACTCAGTTCATTGTCAACGGTGCCGCAGGGCTGTGGTTAAAGAGTTGCTGCTGTGGTTTCTCCCAGGCCTTAACCCTCTGTGGTGAGCTGTCCTCAGACTCCAGTGACTGCCAGAGGGTGTTCCAGAAACAAATTTCTGAGGCTTTTGTTGTCATCTAACTGTTTTGTTTGTTTAAATATGTGTGCATGTGTGTACTCACTTCCTGAGTGTGGTTTCGTGCTAAGTGCAGTGCCAAGGCTAGAAGAGGGTGTCTGAGTTTCTGGAACTAGAATTACAGGCTGCTGTGAGCCATGAGATGTGAGTGCAGGGAACAGAACTCCGGTCCTCTGCAAGAGCAGTCTGCGCTCTCAAATGCTCACCCCTCTCTTCAGCCCCACAGGTTCCCGTGTTTCAGGAGGGTCAGATTACTTACTGATGGGTGAGCTGACTTCTCTAGGCAAAAGTGAAGTCTGGCAGTTGTTGAAGACCTCTTATGGGTCCCTTGTCCTCGCTGTCTGCTTCCAGCTCCCTTTTCTCTGCCTGAGCTGTCTCCTGGGCACCAGATAGTGTGTCCTGTGGAACAGAAAGGGATATCTGGATGGGTATTGATACCAGGAATGGACTCTGGCCTTCTTCAGTTTGTGTTCTTGGTGTCAAGATGACAGGAGAACATCTCCCTGATAGAGGAAGCCACTCAGAGAGGAACAAGAATGTCCCCATTTATGGTGACAAGGCTATGAACGCTGCCTAAGTGGGAGGCTTCTTACCTTATGGCGCAGAAGCATTTTCTGGTTCTGTAGTCTAAGTGCTGTTTGTGTCTTTGGTCATCACATGGTCTGTCCCGTATGATCTTGTAGGAAGCATGGCATGTCTCTCAACTGGCTTCTCTGGGCATCCTGGGCTTGCCTGAAAGTGTTGCCAGTGATTCCTCACTGCAGATTTTTGTTTTAAGAAAATTGCTTTTTGGCAATCAATTTGAGTGATCTGTCATGAGCATGATACATTTGTATCTGTCACTTTATATGATTATCAAGAAGGTACAGTATAGGGCTGGCCAGGTAGCCCAGTGAGTAAATGCACTTACCACCAAGTCCAATAACCTTGCAGAACCCACAAGGTGGAAAGAGATCACTCCCACAAGTTGTCTGACCAACACATATCCCATAAGTAAAAAATAAACAAAGAAATCAATCACATTCAAGTATAGTGACTCAAAACTAAAAGTTCAGTCTAGTGAATAAATACGTATTTTCCTGTACTTAGATTCCTTTTCTACTTTTAATGAATTATTCTGGTTTGTTTGTTTTACAGGTTTTACACCCTACTAGTGCTGGCCACAGCCCTCTTTGGACAACCACCTTTCAAGAATGTGATTGTGAATGGACTCATCTTGGCAAGGCAGGTGCAGCCCTCTCTGTAGTGATGCGTTTCGGCTCTAATACTCTTTATCCTTGAAATTTGTCTTCAAAGCAACCATTTTCTCTTTGAATAGAGAAGTTTAGCACCACCAACTTTGAGCTCTAGTGCCCCTTTCCTAGTCTCAAACTTGTTTTTTGTTGTTTTTTCCTTTTGAGGTGGTGTCTGGAACTTAATCTTGTAGGCAAGACTAATCTTGAACTCACAGAGATCTGCCTATCTCTGATTCGTGCCCACCTGTTTCATACTTCTTACTCTCTCTTTCCATTTTCTTTTCCTGAGGCAGAGTTGCCTCAGGTTTAACCTCTTCCTGCCTTGGCCTCTCGAGTACTAAGATTACAGGTGTGTGCTATGGTTCCATGACCCGCTGCTGCTCCTGTGAGGGGTCTTCTGCAAATGCAGAGAAACAATCTTTGTGAGGCCAGAAGAAAATCCAGTTCTGCAAGACTCAGCCAGTGTTGGTTCAGACCTTTAGAGTCTGACACTGGGCAGTTTATTTTGACATACAGTACAACTCTGGGAAAAAGTTTCCTGGTGATAATTATCTCAATCCCATGTACACGATAAAACTTAAGGCTTGATTACATCAAAACTCTTGCAAAGTACATGCGACCTCTCCCATGAAGATGGGTTCTATAGCTTAGGGACCTGCAGGAAGATCAAGTATGGTCTCAGTCATACAGACAGCATAGAGGTTACTAACCTATAAAGGACATGTGACATCTCCCCTTAAGATGGGTTCTATTGACTGAAAACACAGCTAAAGTCTGTGGAGAAGAGAATGGGTTAAACATAATAGTCTGGGAGACTCGGGTGTGGCCTGGGCCTATGGATAGCACAGCTCACTGGGCTATTAACTGCATCCACTCCCAGCCTTGTGGGTGAAAAACAGGTATGCACACCGGTGCCCTCGCAGAGACAAGCCTGTATGCTTGACATTCCTGGTTTCTCTAGTGCTTACCTGAGCACAAAGGACTCTTGCCCTCTACACTCCTGTTTCTGACACGCTTGTTCTGTCTTCTCTGCTTACTTCATGTGTCTTAGTGGGAAGACTATTGTGGGCCAGGCCTCTTGTAGACAGAACAAGACATGACATATGGATCTTGTTAGTAGTAACAGTGTTTCTAGTGATGTCACTAGCAATGGAGTTAAGCTTACCTAGCTTAGTATTTTGTAAGGTACCTTAGTGTTCATGTCTCACTTCATCTGTGTTTCACTCCTACATGGATTTTATTTGTCATACATGGGGAAACTCTGGATCTCAGAGACCCTGTGAGTTGCAGGAGAAGAGCCACAGCACCACACCAGGCTCCTCCCAGGGTCTTCGCTTCCTATGGAAAATTATTTCTTAATTGTATTAGTAGTCTTAGATTAGTTAGTAAAAATAAACAATAATTCTCCATGTATATTTGGAACCTGTCTTCTGTGACAGTCTCCCTTCCTAGCCACGGAAGAGCATATTCTTGGTTTTTGCAAAGCTATCACCATTTAGTTGGTATCAGATTCTGATTTGCACAGGTAACATTCTTTATTGTTAAGCTCTGGATGCCAAATTATTGGGTATGTGTCTTGAGGCTTCTCTTGCTGTTATAAAAATCATGACCAAAAACAGCTTGAGGAGGAAATGGTTCTTTTCATCTTATAACTTTCAGGTCATCACGGAAGGAAGTCAGGGCAGGGCTTGAAACAGAGGCCATGAAGGAGTGTTCACTGGCTTGTTCCCTGTGGCTTCCTCAGCCTGTTTTTTTATACCAGCCAGGACCTCCTTCCCAGGAGTGGCACCTCCTACTGTGAGCTGGCCTCTCTTATGTCAGTCATTAGTCGAGAAAGTGCCGCATAGGCTTGCTTGCAGGCCAGTCCAATGGAGGCACTTGCAATTTTGGTTTCCTCTTAGGTAACTAATTTGTGTGAAATAAACAAAAACCCAACCGCTATAGTGTGGTTTTCTAAGCTGTAATTAAAATATTTGTAGATACAATAAACACATGTTTTAAGCGAAAGAGAATATTTATCCGTACAGACACTCTGCTTCATATGCTGTATGAAGAGGAAGAGAGTAGCACCAATTAATACTTGCTTCCTTAGCCAGGCCTACATGCACACTGCCATGCATAACACATTGCCTCTCAGTGATGTGGCATGGGCTCTGGAATCAAGCCCTTTGGCAATGAAGGAACAGTGAAAGTGCCTTGCTGAAGATACACAGCAGATGAGTTGGTAAATGCCATTCTGAACATAGGTATTGGACCCTATAAATTCTTCTTTTTTTCTTTTTTCTTTTTTTTTTTGGTTATTTCTTGTTGGTACTGAGATTCCCACATGCTCTACCTCTGAGCAGCACCCCCCCCCATTCCTGCCTTTTAGTGATTTTCTTGGCTGATGAGATGACTCAGCATGCAAAACACTGCTGTGTAAGCCCAATGACCTAGCGTCTTTCCCCAGAACCAGTGCTAAAGTGGAAGGAGAAAGACAACTTACACAGTCGCCCTCTGACCTCCACAGTACGCCACGACACATGCACACACACACACACACACACACACACACACACACACACACACGCGCGCCCTAAATACACTACTCTCTCACCAGTACAGCTGTGAGGTTAAATGGTTTCACCACCATAGGACCTTATTGCTACACTTACCTGTCCATCCCTGTTCCTAATTGCTCTGGAATAAATAAATGCTAAAACATCTTTCTACTTCCCTAAAGACTCACAGTGATATTAAAAAGAACATTCCATGGCTCCAGGGGTAAAGGCCCTTTCTGTGCATACTTGACTGACTTGGATCACTAGACCCCGCATAAGGATGGAAGGAGAAGTTGTGACCATGGCTCATGTCTCACACAGCTATATCAAGCACATATACATATACAGTAACAAAAAAATAAATTTAATATAAAAGAACAGAACCCTGGCAGTGGCGGCATGCGCCTTTAATCCTATCGCTCAGGAGCAGATGCAGATGAACTTCTGAGTGTGAGGCCAGCCTGGTCTACAGAGGTCCAGGACAGCCAGGGCTATCTGGAGAAACTCTATCTCATAAAGAGCCAAAAGAGAAAAACCCTAAAAATAGAAACAAAAACACCATGCCGTCGTGGGTAGACTGGCTTGTATCTCATCTCCCAGTTGTGTTTGTGTGCTTGCGTTTGACCTGCGCCCATACAGAAAGACCACCTGTATTTACTTATTTAATTGTGTCTACGTTCTGTTTTACAAGTGATGGCCAAAAAATGAGCAAACGGAAAAAGAACTACCCAGATCCAGTTTCCATCATCAATAAGTATGGTGCCGATGCCCTCAGGTAGGAAGGCAGTTCTTTCATGGGTATCTCCGGTCCTGTAGTTGCCGTTCTCAGATTGTTAGATAATTAGGCTTTAAGTGTTGGGTCTCTGTATGGTAAGCTATATTTTTATAGTTCTTGACTTTCGAACCTAGAAGTCATAGGACTAGAAACTCTCCTGGATGCCATGAGCTGCCTATGACCACCCAGGTGGTACAGATTGTCTCTACCTCAGCTCCTGTCTAAGTTCCCTGTGTTATGGTATTTCTTTCGTTATCCCCATGTCATTGGTGACACCCACTCCCAAGCCCGTGGTGTGCACCTTCAGACAGTTCCTGTGACCTGGAAGCAAACAGAGAGGCTGGCCTTCCTCTCATTCATATGTCAGGCTTGTGTTTGACCATTGTCCATTTGTGCTGGGCCGTTCTCCACAGTGAGGGTTGTCCTCCGGAGTGTAGCAGCGCCCCTCGTGAACCCGTGTGCGCCAGTGATGGGGCTGTGAGTGTGTGAGCACTGCTCCTCTCCAGTAGGACAGTGGAGTTGAGCTGGCCTCCTCGGTCCTTAGTAAAAGGAAAAAGACTTCTGTGACCGGAGGAGGAACTAGAAGGCTTGCCTTCTCAGTGTCACAGTAGTAGTAACTTGGTTTACCATCTATATAAATCTATTTCTTTGCAAATGTTCTGCTTCTTCCAGGTTGTACCTGATCAATTCCCCTGTAGTGAGAGCAGAGAACCTCCGCTTTAAGGAGGAAGGGGTGCGGGATGTCCTTAAGGATGTGCTCCTCCCGTGGTACAATGCATACCGCTTCTTCGTCCAGAATGTCTTTAGACTTCACAAGGTATGGACCACGCTGGGCTGTGTATGCCGAGCTATGAGGTGGGACTCTGGGACCTTGAGGCCACTTTTCTTCTGTTGTCTGCTGTTGTTGGATAACCCAGAGCCATGGGGAAGCCTAACGCAAGAGGTATGTGGTCCTCTGCAAGACACGGCCTCCTCTGTATAAAGAGGTGTGTCATAGTTTGGTCAGCCAGTTTGTCCTAGAGATTTCATGTTGAGTGAGGTTCTCCTCCTTTCCTGGAACTGATGGGGTATGGGGTTAGAGATAGTATAAGAGTCAGCTACTGACAGAGTTACCTGATGAAGGACAGGGCCAGACTCCATTTCTTGAGAGTGTGGTCGGGGAAGACTTGTAAGGGAAAGCCTTGGGCCGAGACTTGGAGTGGTAGCAACTCAGAATGGGTTGCTAGGGTTAAGAATAGTAGTTGGGCTGGGCCGTGCTGGCTCGCACCTTTAACCCGCATGCAGGAGGTAGAGACAGGCTCTGTGAATTTGAAGCCAGCCTTACTTAAAATCACAATTCATTGAGGATTTGATGGTGTTCAGCCTGAGTATTTCAGATTTCAGCCTGCTAGCAGAGTCCAGGGTTATTTTATTTTTTTCGTTACTTCCTTTCATTTAACTGATGGAAAGCATTTGGTAGGTCTAGACTGCCCAGCGGGTAAGAGTACTTGTTTTTCCAGAGGACCTGAATTTGGTTCCCAGCACCCATATTACGTGGCTCACATACACCTACAACTCCAGCTCCAGGGGCTCCGGTGCCCTCTTCTGATGTCTGTGTAACACAGGCACATAGATGGCGCGCACACTGTTTTTCTTGGTATTAGTTCCCCCTTTGTGCATGTGAACATCTCACTGGGTGTCTGTCTGTAGGAAGATGGAGTGGAATTCCTGTACAATGAGCACACGGTCAGAGAGAGCCCTAACATCACCGACCGGTGGATTCTGTCCTTCATGCAGTCCCTCATTGGGTTCTTCGAGACAGAAATGGCAGGTGAGTCTTCTCATGCTGTCTCCCCAGGGTTGGGGCCTGTTTACCCTCTTACAGCTGTTCTTTTGGTATTTCAACTTTGTCCCTTAGTAACGTGGAGCGCGTTTTGGGAGATAACATAGATAATTTTTTTTTCAATACCCCTGAGGCCCATTAGTTGTAGAAAGAAGTTTATTTCAGGGCTCTGGGGAATTTAGTCTGAGGAGTACAGACTTGTTCTTGGACGATCCTCTGCACAAGAACCCTACTATCTTTCCTCACTAGCTGCCGTGACTTCCCATGAAGGGGAATCTAGAGATTGTACACTTAGGACAGAACCCAGTTTGCATAGGAACTAGACAGATGAGTGTCTGTATGATGAGGGACATACACAGGAAGCTAGCCACCCTCAGAGGACAATTCCTGACCCAGAGGTCACATGTCCATTGCATCAAACAAGACCATGAAGGAACATGTCTACAGGGTGCTGGTGGCATCTTATGGGAGTTGCCAGTTACTATTAGCTCCCTCAGGAAGAGCTGCTTCTGTCTCCATGCTGTGTGTGCTCATTAGGTATGAGGTTCACTTCTCTTTAGAAGGTGAAACCTGAACCCAGGAATCTCAAGCTTCCCAGAAAATGAAGTATGGTGAACTCTTGAACAGAAAAGGCCCCAATTATAACAGTGGCCACACCCCTTGGGCATGGCCTCAGAAGAGGGAAGCTTGAGGCATGGCTTTCCTTTTGCTCTCCTGTCTGCCTGAGGCCACACCCAAGGTCGTGTAGCCACCTTTACAAGTTCACTGCAAGACTGCTACACCCCAACTGCTGAAACCACCTGTCTGTAAGTGTTTGACCAGCTCATGACTGTGGCCCTGAATTCTGGTTCTGTGAACCACCTGTCTGTAAGTGTTTGACCAGCTCATGACTGTGGCCCTGAATTCTGGTTCTGTGAACCACAGTAAGAGCAGCTCTGCCCTTTCCATCTTGTCCTAGTGGAGCAACTGTGGCACTGTCAGCAGTTTGTTTGGCTGGGTCTTTCTCCTTAGTGGGGATGTGCTGTGCTCTGTAAGATGCCGACTGAGCAGCGTCCCCGTGGCACTCGGTAGAAAGTGGTGTTGTCACTCTGCATATTTATACCATGAGAATATCTTCTCAATCTTTGCCAGATATTTTCTGCAGGGCAAAATGGCCCCTGGTCACGCCTTGCTGGTGCATGCTGTGCCTCTGAGCATCTAAGGCAAGCTTTCTGCTGCCTTCTAGTTAGGGTAGGAGGCAACACAGTGTTGTGGAGCTGGGTTCTTGGTGCTGCCCAACCATACTTCATAGTCACACAGGAAGTATGCTGTTCACCATACTTCATAGTCACACAGGACAGGGGTGCAGTTTTTCTCACCTATGTGGGTTTGCTTGTTGCTCACTATCATTTTTGTGT